TGAAAAAAAGGGATGCGAGTGGGCTGACAAAGGGATGCGAATAGCCTCGCCGGTTTGACCGTGTCAGACAGAACTGGTTGGTGGTGAAAAAAAGGGATGCGAGTGGGCTGACAAAGGGATGCGAATTGCCTTGCTGGATTGACCGTGTCAGACGAGGTTGGTTGCCGGTGAAAAAAGGGGATGCGAGTAGGCTGAGAAAGGGATGCGAATTGCCTCACCGGTTTGACTGTGTCAGACAGAGCTGGTTGCCGGTGGAAAAAAAGGGAATGCGAGTTTGGGGTGGAATTTTCATTCTATTCAGTAGGGGGCGCATGCCTAATATGAGGTGACAATTCGATTGAACCTGTAGAAGTACCCTTTTCGTCGCAATTATTTATAACGTTACATTCACTTCTACACATGAAAATAATACCAAAAATATACCTCTGATATAAAGGAGATACGATGACGCCGCTATAACATCTTAGATAAGAAGATGGTTTCAAAATGTCTGTAGTTGCAATCGCCAGCATGCACTTCAATGCTGTTACTGGGAAAACGATTTAATAAACTTCACTTAAAGTTTACCTTTGTCAAATACTGAAAATTATCGGTAACTGTTACATCAGTATCGAACAGCAAAAGTGAACACTTTAAACATTAGGTTTTTATTGAATTTACATTTCCAAACTAAATTAAAAATTAAAAAGAGTTTAAATTGATACGGCGATGAAAGATTTCTTTATGTTAACTACTTGTTTAACATACAGTTCAGCTAATTTCTACGCATGCTTTTATTATCCTGCGTTGTTTTACAGGCTTAGCATATTTTTACTTGCGACAAGAAACTGTTCTAGCGTGTCCTGTCAATACTCAACTTTCCAATCAGTACATAAATTTGAAACAAGATGCAACACTACCTCTGTACTTAGGATGAAGAATAGCTAACTCTTACATTCATCTCAGCTTTCACAGTGGCAGTTTTTCTTCTAGGAGCAAAGAAACCAGTCAATAGTTGTCTGAGATGCTCGATTATTTCCATGGAAACATGGAAATGCCGTGCTGAGATAACCTGGACAATGTCATCATACAGAGAAAATCCATCTTACGATTCTATCATCTTCAACATAGAAATTATGTTGCCTTTCGTGAAGGCCATTCCAAGCAGCCACGTTTTCATTTATTTCCCCTTTTTGCAGACTACAGTCAAAGCCAT